CACCATCTTAGTTTTAAGAGAGAGTTCATGCTCCCCAAAAAAAAAATATTTCCACTCAAATTGCAAGGAGATGGTTTTCTGTCACCTTTCACTGACTTAATGACAGTATTAATGATCTAGTCATTTTCTAGCAGAAATGACTGGCAGGACTGAAGATGGTTTGAACAATCAATTCCAAAGATACAAAATAAAATAAAGGCAAAAGGAATTTGAATATCTCTTCTTGAAAGCCAGTGGGCATTGCAGGGGGCTTTAAGTTTTCATGACCATAGGCTATTTAGGTGGGACCTTAAGGGGAAGGGTTGGTGACAGTGATGGTGATGAGGCTAAGGTGCAAAGGAGTATGGACTCAAGATGAGTCTGAGTTATATATTGAGTTTTCTTCTCAAAAAGAAAAACTGGAACAAGATTTGTCCATGGCCAAAAAACAATATCAAACCAGAGATTTAAATCGTGGTTGTGGTTCCGTTTTTGGTAGTGTATCGTTTATCGTAATTACGGTCATAGCGAATGTTATTGCGCTATTGCGCGTATAACAAATCTATCGGAAGGCAACGCTACCATTATTTCACGTGAGCTATCGCGGTCGCGGACCGCTATTTAAAATCCTAAAACAAATGACAAACATACCAAAACAAGGAAATGCGGGGAAGGAAAGGGCATCATCAAAACATGATGACAACCGAGAATAACTTGGGATACATACCTACATTTTCTAAAATTTTATGAATTCGTCTTCTTTTTAACATAAAATCTTATGTCTGTCATTGAGTAGGTACGAAGACTTACGTATCATTTTATGTTAAGAGTAAAGACAAACTTATAAAATTGTAAAGGAAACCAAAATAGATTAATAAAAAAAACAGAGTATTTAAAATACATGATAATTTAATATTTTCACAAGGACAAGTATCTTGCTAGTCCTCTCTCTCTCTGTATTCATGTATACATGTAACTAGTAAAAGACATTACAAAGTAGAAAAATCAAATTCCAATTTTCGGTATAATAGGTTGACTAAAATCATAATTCAACCTAAAGAACATATATTATTTGAGGTTTGAAAAGAAAGCAAATTATAATTACTCCGCCCCCACCTCCATCCATATACGTGGGCGTGGAAATAGCAAGTGCTAGTGATGTTAAGAAATCAAACGTGGTGATGCAATCAATAGATATAGAGCTTGTCAAATACGTAAATGTATTTACTGTTGCATCCCCCACAATATCAAGAATTGCAGAAAGGGTCCTACCAGGAAGCTTAGCTTGATTTGGGTTTTACATATTTTCAGACTTGAGGAGGGGGTGATGGAGTGCAATTGCATTTGGAGTGGGGACTGAAATGAGGGAACTAGAGGCAATGCCTTCGGATCCTGGTCGATAGACATAGGGAGATTTAGTTGTGAATCCAAGAAGATCTTCGATAGCTTTTTGAGTCCCCAAGTACGTAATGTCCCATTAGCAGTAACACTGAGTCACGAGTTGCATCACCCAGGCCTGTTTTTGTATAACACTCTGCCTAAGCCCTCCGTTTTCTGGTTTACTTTTCCCACCCGTTTCGGGTACCATTTCCTCTCCTCCAACGGGCTCTTGTATTTATTAATCTTCCTCTTTCTGCCAACTCCTTGTGCGGTTAGCTCACTTGTCAAATGTGATGAAATCATAAGCCTGGATGAATTAATACACCCATACCAAATCATCAAATAATAGACCATAGGAGCCCATTTAATAAACGCCCTTTTTCATGGACTCATTCTCATTAATCTAATCTTTTTATTACCAATATTTTGAGGTTATCCAATTAACACGAATGAAGTTAAAATACATTTTGAGGTTTTTAAATTAATTTGATCACTTCATATCAAATTTATTTTGAATTAATAATATTTGTTTTTAAAAATAAAATTCGATTGTATTTGAATTTGAATTGACATTATCAAATTTTTTAATGATGATTTATATGACATTATTTAGAAATGACCGTCCAACTCAGTTGGTTAGAGCGCAAGGCTCTTAATCTTGTGGTCGTGGGATCGAGTCCCACAGAGGGCATTTCATAATTCGAAGGTCTCTTACGGAAGCTGCTCTCAACCTGACGTTGGGGGCAGCCTACTATCATATCTCCCCTTACCTCATTACATATGAGAATAAGGGTCAGCTAATTTTTTGTATGACATTATTTACAACTCAGCAAGTCCAAAAATAGATATTTTACCACTTTGAACTACGACTTTCAACTACAATATGTATAATTAATCATTATAAGAATTCATAAATTAATTTAGTTTAACAAAATGATAATTATATTCCCGCCAAAGGATACGTGAAGCCTTTGTGCTTTGGAAAATGATAATGCGATCGTTGTATTTTCTACACTCAACGTGGGTTTTAAATTTAGAAAACATATCTAATACGACTTTTTAACCAATGATTTCCGTAATTTATCATTATGATACTGACGTGATAATCTACAGTGGCCGGTGACGACGTGGTTGATAGGCTAAATTGTTTTTCTTAATTGAGTTCGAGGGTTAAATTGATTTTTAAAAAAGTTTATGGACTTATTTGATTTTCAAGAAAAAAATTTATAATTAAACATTTAAAATATTAAATAAAATAAAATTCACATCAGAATTTGACTGTAAATTAAATGAACCGTTTAACAATGACATTTTTAATCACTTTGATTAATATATATATATTAGTAATTTATTTTTTTTAATTTTTTTATATTTTTTTCTATATTTGTATAGTTTGAATTTAAAATTTAAAATATTTTTTGAACAAATCAAATAAGCCATTGAATTAAAAAAAACAATTTGACCCTTGAACTTTATTAAAAAATCAGTTTAGTTCATTTATCGCATCATTTGTCACATCAACACCGTGAAATACCACGTCAGTACTATAACAATCAGCGATAAAAACTATTGGACAAAGGTTCTCGTTGGGTGTAAAAAAATACGATGACTATATTGATTTTTTTAAAGTTCTAAGATCATCCTTTTGTCTTATATATATATATATATTAAAAATATCTAAATGTGTAATTAATTAAAATTAAAATTAATTATGGTAGTCACTAAATTAAATATCTAATTCAAATATTAAATAAATTATATTAAATATATCAAAATTCAATTCTTTATGATTTCTATTTCTATTTTGCTTTGAAATTATAGATATGGGAGGACGTTTCCGATGAATGGAAATGCATTCAACCGGTTTAACTGGAAATCGTTGTCTAGTTCGATTCAATCTAGACCGGTTGAACCGCTACTAGTGAACCGGCCAGAACCGCTGAACCGTTCAAACCGAACTGACTGAAAATAAAAAAACCGCCAATTTTGTTTTTTTTAAAAAAAATTAAACCAAACAACGTCGTTTGTTAAACAAGCCAAGTCGAACTCGAGTATTGCTGAGCTCGACTCGAACTTGAAAAATTTAAAAATAAGCTCAACTCGATTCAAACTCACGAGCTAAAACTTATGAAGTTTAACTCGAACTCGAAATATAATATTGAAACTTGAACTCGAAAAGGCTTGAACTAAAAAAAAAATTTAGAAGCTCGATTGAAGCCTAAAATTCGAGCTTGATTGAAGTGAAAAAATAGTTCACTCAATGCTTACCAAAAGGCTCTATGATTTTAAATGTCAAATTATCTCTATTATTTATAGAAGTTAGTTGAGATGATATTCTATGTTTCTTAGCCATGTGGGATTGTTTTTAAAAAAAATTAAACCAAACAATATCATTTTATTATGATTTTTTTAGCCTCAAATTTATTTTTTAATTATAGTTATATAATTATATTTATTATTTAATATGTTTTACCTTAAATATTATGTTGTAGTTAATTTGAATCATTTTGTTTCACTTGATTTTATGGTTTTTAACTTATATATGTTATGACTTATTTTGAATATGAATTGTGATATAAAAAATTATTTTTTATTAAATATTTTTGGTATTTTTATTTAATTTTTTAAATAATTATGACGTCGTCCGATTCTTCTGACTGATCAGATCAATTTGACCGGTTAAACCAATAAATCGATAGCATAACCGGTTCACTAACCGGTCTGATTCTAAAAACCATGATGAATAATAATAACATGCAAATGCAACTGGGCAATCTTTGTTTCCTAGTATCTTTTCGAGAGAGAAAACAAAGGTCTAGTAAATAATCATTCTTCCCCCATAGGAAAGCGCAGGTGCTTCTCTTTGGGCAAAAATTCGAATTCGACAGAGAAAATCGAAAATCGAATTTAATGAGTCGGGTTCGAGGATGATAAACGGAGACGGGGTGGGGAAAATTCGTTTATGTTAAAGGGGGACGGGACGGGTTTGGTAATCTCCGCCCCGATTACTCGACCTGATAAATATTAAAAATAATTGTTTTTTATATATAATATTAATAACATATTTTAAATTAACCCTTAAATATTTTTTATTATTTTTTAACCACATACTACCCCACTTTAAAACATCGTCCCTGCTTCAATTTTTAGAATTTACCTCAATTTTCGCTGTCTTATAATATTAATAACATATTTTAAATATTCTCTTTTTTCTTGTTTGCAATCACGTCACGTGTGAACCTTTAATATCTTTTAATAGACAAACATTATCTAGTACTTGTTGTAGGGTCCTCGTCCAGTACACCATTACACACCTGAAGCCCACCAATAGCATTGACAAGCTGGAAATTATGTCTAGCAAAATTTAAAATCAATGCAACTTGCATATTGTTTTCGTCTCTTCGACATCAACCCTCATTTTCACCTCGCATTCCAATAACCTCGGGACCTATACCAACATCACGTTCTTCCCTAGCAAATGGAACAACAGCTGCTCTCTAGTATTAAATTCGAAAATTCTAAAAAATTTCGGTTAATTTATTAACCGAATTAATCGAAATTTATTCGGTTCAATTAATATTTTTGGAAAAAAATTTGATTCGATTAACGGTTAAAGAAAAAAAATTCAGTTAATTCGGTTTAAATAAACGGAAATACCCGTTTCCCCGTAATTTTCCCCAATTACCCAATGGGATCCCGTTTAAATCCCCGTTGCCATCCCTAGTTGGCAATCCCTTCAACCGTATTGCATTGCCTTCTTCCCTTCTTCCCTTTCGATCTCATCGTCGCTGTCGTATACAAATCTTGTGTGCTTCCCTCTAAACATCTCTTCCATGCTTATCTTGCTTAAGCCTTCACAAAGCTCATCAATCTCTCCATCATCGTCGTCGTTGTCTTCCACTTCTTCATAGTAAACATCTCCCATTTCTTCAAATGGCTCCTTACCAATCATCTTCATCTTCGATGCTACCATTATCATCAGCTGATGTCTTCTCTTTGCATGCACTACTTTTTCTTGATCGGTCACCTCGGAATATGATGAATGCTCAGCAAAGTCAAGCAGCAAAGACCTAGTTATCACGCTTTTCTGTGATTCGAGACGCACTTCCTGTATTTCCACCACAGATTAAAAAGGAATATTCATCATTCCAATCAGATTAAGTTCCAAGAAAGTAAATAACTAAATACCGACCTCAGATCTCTTCATATGTTCTTCGACAACAGGTTGAGCTGTCACTATTGAACCCAATCCAATATCCTCATAAAGATTTGAGAGCTGTGGTGTATTTGCAGGAGTAGGAGCCGAAATTCCCATCGGGGAATTAACACATCCTTGCAGTCGAATAAAAGGACGGCTCTCCATCGAAGCTGTTGAAAGCTCAGCTTCTTCTTCAACCTTTTGCAAGAGAGTCTTGACTTGACCTCTCAACAAAGCCTCACCAGATCCAGGAGTCATCACCACGTTCCTCACTCTACTACTCCACTGCTTACCTACAGCAGAAGACGGCGTTTCCATTGCAAGCCCCACAATAGGCGAGTCATTCGTTATATCGATAAGAGCACCCCTTTCGCTTTGCTGTTTCCCATTTGTTTTCGACACACCCTTGACGTACTCTTCCTTGTTTCCTTCTACTAAACCAAAACATCAAGAAAACAAGGATCATTCAAAGAACAAAACCCAGATTCTAAAATCATTGATTCCTTTAATTAAGAAAAAGAAGAAGAAAGGAGTGAAAATGAACTCACTGGAAAGAGTGATACTGTTGTTGTTCAAGGTAGCCAAAGTCTGGGACCTGGTGACTCGTATTGTAGATGAAGGAGTCTCCATTGAAAATAACCGAAAATGATGATTCGGGTCGCCGGAAAGTTGACTTTTTTTGTTTCGAAAGCACGATGAATGGAGCTCCTCAATGAGCTTTAAGAAAAAAAAATAGAAAGTTCGTACAGGGGAAAGAGAGAGAGCCGCTATATATGGATATATGATTACGGAGTTTAAACGGTAATATATATGAAAATCGACCGTTAGAGCGCTGGGTAGGCGGCACATCGGGAAGAAAAAGAAACTAGCCGTTGGATGGTTGGTTTATTTGACTATACGATCCCCGAGTTTTGTAGGGTTGGTTCTAATATTTGATTAATAATAGAGAAAATAACCTCAGTGACCAAAAATCTCATATAATATACGATTTTAACCAACTTTTTCCGGATTTGCCAAAATGACCAACAAAATCGCAATGCGATCGCTAATTCGCAACGCGATCTCCATTATCGCAAATTCGCGTTGCATTTCGCGTTGCGATAGTTGGAAATCGCGTTGCGATGGTATACAATGTCGTTGCGATTTTCCCAATTCACAATGCGAATAAGTAAATCGCAACGCGAATTGGGAAAATCGCAATGCGATACTGACTATCGCAATGCGATACTTACTATCGCAATGCGATAATACAAAATCGCAACGAGATACTGACTTTCGCAACGCGATTCTGACTTTCGCAACGCGATTTACATAGCGCCATTCGTATTAACGCGTATTTTTTTTTTCAAATTCCAAACACGAATTTTTTCTTAATAAGTCGGAAACTGAACCGTCCACAGTAATCGCAACTCATAACCTCAAACCCAAAAACACAACACTCAGTCCCATCTCCATCTCTCACTCTCTACGGCGAAATCCGTCCCCATCTCCGAAGATTTCCGTCCCCATCGCCGGCGAAATCCCTCACAACCATTCACAATCAAAATCCCTCACAATCATTCAGAAATGGAAAATCAACCTCCGAGGGTTAGTTTTTTTTATTTTTATTTTGAAATTTTTTCATTATTTTAGGTTTTTCATATTGAGATTGATGATAAGTTTACTGGTAATTTCAATAATAGATTAACCATTTCACTTAGATTTCTTATTAAATTCATTCGATTGCTGCCAATACTGCTAAACTGTTTAGCATGTGAAGTTAGTATTTGTCTTTGCTTTGTCTTTTGGTTGAAGTAATGCAGAAGAAGAATAGTTTCGAGAATGAAAATCGCAACGCGGAAATAACTATCGCAACGAGATAATCGCAACGCGAAACCAAAATCGCATTGCGATTTTCATTTCGCGTTGCGATTTTTATTTCGCGGTTGCGATTTTCATTTCGCGTTGCGATTGTCTGGTCGCGTTGCGATTCTCTCGTTGCGATAGTCATTTCCGCGTTGCGATTCTCATTATCTCGTTGCGATTTTCATTTCAACCAAAAGACAAAAATAGTGTTGCAAATTTTAGTTTCAAGAATAAACTACTATTTATGTTTATTGTTTTGTTTTTGGTATATCTTGACAGTGTAATTTTTGGTATATCTAACTTGGTATGTTTATTGTTTTTTTGTAGAAATTTTTTTCGGCTTCATTGACATTAAGGAATAAAGTTAGCCTAGCCACTACAATTGCTTCGAAGCTTTCACCTGCACAAAGAAAATTGTTTGAAGAAACCTGCTTCGGGCCATGGCTGAGAGTACAGCATCCGGGTGGAGATGCTAGTTTGACCCATTTGTGGCTTCAGACCATGACTAGCGATCTACCCGACAGTATACAACGTGGTGAGGAAGAGATATGGTTTCATTTTCCACCGGCGTATACTTGTTTTGGGCGGAAGGAGTTCTGCTTAATCACTGGTCTACGATTCGGACACGATGATGTAGGTCGGTACACTCGTCATATCACCCGCCCATCATGGTTATCTAGGGTTTTTCCTGATGAGTCAATAGAGAAGCCGAACTTACACGTCGACGACATGAAGAAATTGTTTAATAAGAAAGATGGTTTTACTCGGATGAATGACGTCGATGTTGTCCGAGTATGCCTTCTACTACTTTTGTATGCCGGCTTTTTAGGCAGAGAGGCCAGACAACCTATTCCTCAGGAGCTAATATTATTGGTAGAGGACCTAAATGCATGGAATCTGTTTCCGTGGGGTTCGTATATATGGAAAGCTACCTGGACTAAGTTGTCGTCTGCCTTTGATGACCGCAAAAGTTTGCGGGGCGATGGGTCGAAATACACTTTGTCAGGCTTTGTTTGGGCCTTTAAGGTAAGAATTTCTATATAATGTTTTCAAAATTATAATTAATTATTTAACAATTACTAATGTTTGTTATTATATTGTTTGTAGATTTGGATATTCGAGGCTTTCCCCAGCATGCGGACATATGCATTAAAATCCTCAGATGATATTCCTAGGGCCATTTCCTGGAAGAGGAAACGTATGTTGGATTGGGAAGACTTAATACCATATGCGACAATAAATAATGTAAGTTAACACAAATACTATCATATAAACAAGTTATTAATAGTAGACGTTTAACTTTGTTTTAGTTTTATATTTTTAGGAGGCCAACACTCCATTAATGAGACTGACACCCACGGAGGCTGAGCTTGCCACTGATTGGTGGCAAGCTAGTCAACGTTTTTTTAATGGCACGAATGATGAGCAGCCTCCACTTCCTCCACTTCGAGAGCCATCACCTCACCCAGAGCCATCACCTGATCGACCCGACTATACACCTCTACAACGAGAGCCATCACCTATCCCGTCACATCATCGAGTCTCTTCTCCACCATCACCTCATGATAGGCGACCGACAAAGATGCCACGACTTCTATCTCCCTGTTCTCCACCTCCACGGGATGAGTCAAGGGAGTTACGTGATGAGGTCAATGCCTTGCGTGAGGAGATCGGTACTCTACGCGATAACGATGGTGCATGGCGTGTGGAGGTGTCTACTTTACGTGGTGAGGTTGCCGCTCTACGTGAGATGGTAGTATCGTTGCAGAATGAGGTTCATACTCTACGCAACGAGGTAAGTTTAAGATTTTCCATATTTAACTTGATGATAAATTTACTCGTAATTTCACTTAAATTAACCATTTCACTTAGATTGCTTAGTAAATTTATTCGGTTGCTGCCAAAACTGCTAAACTTTTTACTTTAACACTGTGAAGTTAGTATTTGTCTTTGTTTTGTCTTTTGGTTGAAAGTTTGAAATATATTTATCTTTGTTTTCACTGTTTAAATATCATGTCTGTTTATTTACTGATATTTGTATTTTTATTTAGCGGACCGATAAGGTGGATGCTTTACGTCGGGTTTTTCTTGCACGACAGAGTTCACGCATCAGACGACGTGCACGTGCTATTAAGTCTCCGTATACCCCAATAGTGCGAAGACACCGCAAGAAAAAGCCCGACTCGTCTATCATCCCTCAAGAGTCCACTTCTATCGTTGAAGAGGCCCCTATCATTCCTCGAGAGTCCCCTCCCACCGTTCAAGAGGCCACTGTCATCGTTGAAGAGGTCCCTCCCACCATTCAAGAGCCCGATTCACATGGCGTCATATGTAGGATTCTTGAGAAACCCTCTGATGTGCCGGACATGATGGATTCAAGTTGGCTCTCGTATGAGTTACCGGCCAGTACCATACCGGTATCTGAAGAGGAGAGGAAACAACTACCGGACACAATTCTGGATAACACCCTTTGGGCTAAGACCGCAGTTGATTTTTATCTACATGAGCGAAGCCAGGGGTGTTTCACTGACATATGCAAGCTCAATGATGATATCTATTTGTTGCTTGACCGGTCTTGGTGGGGCGTATTATTAGGGGTCGAAGACAATGGCTATTTTGATGGAGGGGTAAGTCTTATATTTTTCTTATATTTTCATTTGATTATTTTTTTTTGTAAATTTATGTAAGTTACTAATATATGTATTTTTTGTAAAACAGCATATTGATGCGTGGGTGTCACGTCTTCTAATAATTAGGAAGCTTAAGGAAAATAAAAGAAATACACGGTATACAATTATGCCGACGTCTTTTAACGCCGTTCACTTGAAGAATCAACGAGATGAATCATTTGCGTTGGGCAATGGACAAGCTAAACTTTATCCTGCATGGTGGGAGGTCGATAAGGTTAGTGTTTATTTTAGATTGAGTTTAAAGGTATTCATAAAATAAGTGTGCAAATGAATGAATTATTACTTATGATTGCAGGTGTTTATCCCTGTTTTGGAACGTAACCATTGGCTTCTCGTCGAGCTTCAGATCCCATCCCTTAAGGCAATAGTATATGACAGCATGATAAATTACATATCATTGGCTGATTTAAGAGATATTATTAAGGGATGGAGCTCTTATTTGGCTAAATACTTGGATGCGATAAATTATTGGACTCGTTCTGGAAACAAGAAGCCAAAGAAGCTCAATATTACAGTTAGCAGAGACGAGACCGCACCACAACAAACGAAAGGACCCAGAGGGGATTGTGGTCCTCTCGTATGCTTGGCGTTGGACCGTTTGATCACAGGAAGTATAAAAGTATCTACCTCCCACCGATATAGATAGAGCTGCAGTAGGCTTGTGGTTTCGACATTATATGGCTAGATCGATATATACGAGACGCTGCCTACCTGCATTCGCGTTATAAAAATGTCCATAAACAATTGGTATGTTTATAGGCTTGTGGTTTGAAAATGTTTGGTTAAGTACCTAGAATTCAATAATTTGCTGTTTGTAGGTTTTAGATGTGTAGAAAGTGTTGTTTGAGCAAATGTTTGGTTTATGCAGGTTAATCTCAGAAGTGAGCTGCGTGAAAATGATGTATGACTGCAAAAGTTGATTCAATAGTAGAAGTGTTATTTTCTCTAATAATTATTGCTTATTTTTTGATTGTTTAATTGATTTGTAAAAGGTGATTTGTAAAAGTTGATTTGTTTAATTGATGTTAACATAATTCTTATTTGTGCTTGTTTAATTGATTGAAATGTAATGGTTGATTTTGTTGATTTCAATCTGCATTATGTTGAAGGCAAAAAGTACTATCGCAATTCGAAATGAAAATCGCAACGAGAGAATCGCAACGCGAAATTAAATTTGCGTTGCGATTTTCATTTCGCATTGCGATTCCCTCGTTGCGATTTTCATTTCGCATTGCGAAATTAGCGTTGCGATTTTCATTTCGCATTGCGAAATTAGCGTTGTGATTTT